CTGGGCAGCATGGTGTGGAGGCACATCAGGGTGGGAGCCAGGCCTGGGATGTTTTAGCGCATTACAAGTCAGAGCTGGCTACTCTAGATCAACAGGAGCAAGAGGGGATAGGTAATACCTACAAGAAGAAGAAAAAGGGGCTGGRAAGGGGAAGACAAGGAAGTTGATAAAAGCCAGCACTTGCTTCTGAAAAAGGTGATTCCCTGGGCCCTGTCAGTGATATAGATCAAAAAGAATGGAGAATCTTGGTTTAAGCATATTAGGTGAAAGTAGATTAAATTTGCAGAACAATCTGTTGTTTCACTATATTTTGAAGCTATACTCCACTTTGTTTCTTCAAGCTGAAATGCCATATTTTATAATTTGGATTATTTTTCCCCTCTGAGTTTCTGGAATGGGATGCAAACTGCTGCATGGCAGTAGCTTTCTTTTTGTTTTGTTTTTCTGTAGTGAAGCTATTAATGGTTAGGTAATCAGACAGTTTGTGAAACAACATTCAAAAACCACTGTTCTTTTCTATATCGGAGAATGTGGTATATTGAGTTGTTGAAACAGATACTAACACTTCCGTGTAAAAAACAGTGTCATTGTGAATGAGGATGCCTGCAGCGCTGCTGGTTGACTTCACAGATTGGGAGAACAACATAGTTTATTATCAGCATCAGCTCTCAGATTTTTATAGTCCAAGGATTATGTTTTACTACCTAAATTGTGCAGAATTTGCCTAGCTTTTATTTTCCCATGCATATATTTACACTGATAGAGGTTGTTTCTTTATTAGYGCACTTACAAACATACAAGTCAGCTAACTACAGCTTATCTCTAGCTTAACCAGGAAATTAAAAGGACTAAGAGTAGGCACTTGAAATAGTCAAGTGTCTTATATGTGGACATAGGCATTTCATAACACATACTTGACTGTATGCAATTTATAACTATTGTACACCACACTTTACCTGGGAATGAGATACTGGTTTTTGTATGAAATATAATCTTTTGCTTTGGATAAGAAAGCTTATCCCAAGTACTTCTAAGACCACATTGGGAAATACTAAGAATGACAGTGCAGTTCAACAGATTCAGCTCAGGAGTTGAAAGCATCCTATGTTCTAAACCTCTGCTGTTTCATTTAGATATTTTTTACTCCATCAGCAAGTCATTTAACCCAGCTCCACCGCAAAGTGGACATAATAATACAGTGCTGATAATATAGTAGAGATCTTTAAAATGGTTCAGTCTTCCAAATAACTGCAAATTTACAAATTTAAAAACATTAGGATCCTACATTTTGCAAAACAGAGTGAAAATAGCCTTGAATGATTGATCTAGCAATGTCAAACTCTGGCATTGATGTATCAGTCCCATTTTTGCTAAAAAAATTCCCATAGTCTCAGTTTTGTTTTTGCTGCAGCTTACAGTTAACAAGAAGACAGGCTTTATTGTTAGCCAAGTGGAAGCCATAATGTACACTGCACTCGTGCAAGTAGTTACTTTTTTGAGGAGAGAGAAAAAGGTAGAGTAGGTAGAAAAGCATTTAATGTAAAGAAGCATTTTTTTTTTCATATTAAATTGTGGAAGACAGGTGCTTTGTGAAAAAAAAAAAGATTTTCGTTTCATTTTTAGAAGAAACAAGACTTCTTCATCAGTCAGACTTCTTTTTGGTAACACAAGTGTTAAAATACTGACGCAACTAACCCAGTCTAYTTCCTTCAAGGCACTGTGTTTTTAAGAGTATATGGACGATACTGAGGAGAAATATAGTCTGGAAGGATTTTATTAAAACATTCATTTTTGTATTTCATCTCTTGTCCCCATTAGATACAATAGCCCAGACGTACATAATAAGTGATTTCTCCTGGCTTTGCCAGGAGTGCTTACTCCTTGCACCAGTAGGTAAGGACCTTCATTTTTTAAGAGATAAATTTCATAATTCATTCTCCAATCAATTAAATTCTGTTGGAAAGCAATGAGGATGGACTATGTGGATTTTCAGRGAGATGACTGTGGCTCTTGATTCACAGCCATTTGTTGATATTACAAGTTAGAATTRTAACAGCTGTGAATTTCTTCAGGGACATCACTTCATTGGATCATCCTGTTACAGTAGCAAAAGACACAGACTTTTTGTAGCCACAGTGAGTCCCAGGAACAGACTTACTGTGAAACAAGAGGTGAGCAAGGAGCATCAGAAGATTAACTACACTACACTAGCACAGGTTGGAACGGGGCATGCAGTTCCCCCCGGGCTGAATTCAGCAACTTCCACACTTGTGTTCAAAATTTTTCCATGCACATTTTTTTCTTCCTTCTAGCTGATAACAGCAAGTTGAGAGGATGCTAAACATTTCTGGTGCTAATTCTCATTTAATTCAATCTTTTAACTARGCACTATTTATAACATGAACTTCTTCAAACCTGCTAACATGCATATACAAAGCAAAACAGCAGAACAATTAGCTCCCTTTTATTGAGCTTAGCTTTGTTATTTATCACACTTACTGTAAGTCTTATGCAAGACTTAAGTCAAGCCATAGCAACCTTGTTCCACATTTTAGACAGCTCCTTCATATGAAGCCTTCTGGGTTTCCAGTAAAACATGCATGCATCTTTTGAACTACACTGTCTTACCCAGTYCAGTCAAACAATCTGGGGCTTGCTGTCAGTGTCAGCAGGGCAGGTTATCAGTTGAGACGTTGGAGGCATATACTTGAAAAGCAACTTTTAGTTAGCATTCATGATGTATTTTAAGCAAAAATAGATCATTACGGACATCTGCCTTGCCTTCCCATATTAGAAATACCAAAGAATAGTAAAGGATAGAGGAAGAAATTACTTCCCATAAGTCTAAATGGCAAAAGATGGGGAAAAAAAAATAGTGATTGGATTCTGTTATGTAGAAGAGTAACAGTCCTTTAAAAGCTAATTAGTAATACCAAACATCCCACTTCTCATTTACACAAATATTACCAAATTGTCAGTCTGATTTCAAATACTGTCCCTCCTAAGTAAGTAGTCCTAAATTGGCCTTTTTGGACTGTAGGTACTTAAGTATAAACACATATGCAATGAAGTATTAAAGCAACAGAAAAAAAAAAATGAGCATGGGGGCAAAGGGAAGAAGGAGACACAGAAAATATAGCACATACCATATAGCAATTTATATTGAAGCTATATATATATATATAAAATAAGCATTAACATTTCTATCTCTGTGCTAATTATTTTTTTTATAAGTTTTAGATAGAAATACAATTATAAGTCAAATCAATATAGACCTGACCAATAAACAAATATATGGTTCTCTCAGCTATGGTGTATAATAGGATAGAAATTATGTATTGCCTCAGGTATCATAATTAACTTCAGGGAAATAATGACATAAATGAGTTTTTAGTTTTGGCTTGATACTGTAGATTTTCTTAGCACATGCTTTCTGTCACCTAAATTGTTTAGGATTGGAGTATATTAGTACTGCAGAACAAGCCTGCATTTTAGAATTAAGACAGACTGCATCTTAACCTACTTGGTAGTGCCAAAGATTTAAAACTAGTTGCCAGTTTCTTAAGAAAACTTCTTATATTTTTTCAACTTACCTAACCTGAAATATTACTGATAAAGCAAACTTAGCTTTAAACGGGGGGAAAAAAAAGTAGCTCATTCTGTCCCGTATCTGCAAGATGTACTTTCTCACTGTAGGATGTCGCCTATAAAATAAGATCATACAATTAGATGACTGAAAAAGACACAAATATAAGTGGATAGTGAAAGTGCTCTTTACTCCGAAGGGAAATAAAGCAGGACTTTATAAACAAAACAGCTCACTGAAACTTAATACTCAATGAAAATAAAGAGTTGGTGGCTTTAAAAGGCGCTGATCCTGTTGCTCTCTGTAAGGCTGAGCCCTTACCAAGGGCCACTTGGGTTAGGACAGCTCAGTTTTTCTGCACTGTTAAGCACCAGGGTCCTGTTTCATGTCTATTATTTCCTTGTATGTTATCTTCCTATGACAGATGTGAGCATAAAATACCTAAGAGAGTCTGATGCTCAACACACAGGTGTTTTGATGAACCACAGAAACTATTTGGAGAGACAGAAAAGCAGACTGGTAAAACACACTAAAAATAATACAGGCCTTACCTTACCCAGAATAGGAATTAGCTAAATGAACATTATTTCTTGCTGCTACTTTTTTTTTTTTTTTAATTTAGGAGCAGATCCAGTAATAGGGCTTTAACACCTGTAGCTTTTGCAGTGCTTAATGTGTTTTAGATATTTGGCCTCCGAAGTGGAATCCCAACCCCTATTATGTACTAGGCAGGTCCAGTACTTAAGAACTGTAAATTATCTCAGGAGAATAATTCAAAAATCTGAATGCTACGGACAGCTATAGCAGAGTAGTTAAACAGATTACAAATAAATAAATAAAGAGGGAGAGGTTTTGGCTGCAGAACTCTTCTCCTAGCATAATTCTGTTGCTGTTTTATTAGTAATTAACGACTAAGTGAAAAAGAGCAAGGCGTTTTAGGAAAGGAGCAAAACTCCGTTCAGGCAAGAGCCCTGGCCGCCGAGCGGGAGCCACCGGCGGCCGCGGGTGCCCCACTTGCGGCGCCAGCTCCCGGCAGCGAGACACCCCGCGCGGGGCCGAGCCGCTCCGGTTACCTGCGCCCGGGCCCGCCGCGCCGCCGGCCGTTGGTGACCGTTGGCGGCGGCCGTTGGCGGCGGCCGTTGGGGGCGGCAGGGTTAAGCGCAGGAATGCGGCGGGAGGACGGCGCAGGCAGGCGAGGCGCATGCTAATCTCATGCTAATCTCATGCTAATCTCATGCTAATGAGAGGCGCCCCGCACGGCAGCCGGGCTCCGACGCGGGCCCCGGGCGCCATGGTGGACTGAAGGGCGGCCGCCGAGCGCGCTCCGCGGGCGGCTGCGAGACGCTCGCGGCGCCCCCTCCTCCTCCGCCCTCTCCTCCCCCCGGCTCGGCCCGGGCTCCGGAGGCCGGGGCCCGGCGGGGGCCTTTCCCGCCTCCCATCTTTCTTTCCGTCCCTATGGAGCAGCTAGCCCCGCCGCGCGACCATGCCTAGGAAAGCGGGCAATGGGCAGCTCCCCTTACCCGCCGGCTGGGAGGAGGCGAGGGATTACGAYGGCAAAGTGTTCTACATCGACCACAACACCAAGCAGACCAGCTGGATCGACCCCCGGGACAGGTGGGCTCCCCGCCGGGCCGCGGCTCGGGCGCCGCCGGCGGGGCGGGCTTCGCGCTGCGCGGCTGTTTRCAGAGGGAGGGGGGAAAGAGAAAAAAGAAAAGAAAAGAAAAAACTGCGAGAAAAGTTGAGAGCCCCGCGCAGGGGGAGCGCGGGCCGCGCGCGGGGGCCGCGGCGGCTGCCGAAGTTGGGAGGCGGCGGCGCGTCCCGGCTAGGCCGCGGCGCGGCCCGCAGCCCCCGGCCCCGCGGAGCGGCGCGGAGCGGAGCGGCGGGAGAGCCCGCGGCAGCCGCCGCGCAACGCGCCCTGCCGCCCCCTGCACTCCTGTTCGCTGTGCGGAGCGGCCCTGGAAGGCAGCTCGGGGCCCCCTAGCTCCACAGCCCTGGCAAAGGGGCAGACACGTTACGGACAACTTGCAGGAGGCGTTAGGCGTTCGCGGGACAGGCGCCGCTGAGGTATAAATRAAGGCCTGGGTTTGTGTTTCTGGGCGGCGGGGAGGAGAGGTAGCTTGGGGTGAAGCTCGCCCGCCCGGCGTCGCCCAGGGGAAGTTTTGACAAGCATCCTGTGTCCTGTYGGGCCTGCTGCACCTCGTGCTGCTAACATCCAGTTCTGAAAATGTTCCTGAACTTACTCTTAAACTCCTTAAAACTCCTGGAATACACTGGGGATGTTAGTGATGTGGTAAGGAACAAAGGACAGTGCTTTTTATTACACTTGAARTAAATTGGCCTTTTTGAGTGTTTTGAATGAGTGCGCATATGCACGTTACCTGTGACGATAGAAAGCTCTGTTGTTTCTCATTGCCTCTAGAAATAGTGTATTTAAACCTTTGTCTAGTTTTAGACATCTCTTAACTTGTGTTTGCAAAGCAGATAACAGAAGATAAGAATCGAAGTAAAGCAAGAAGTGGAAATTACAAGCTACTCATTATAACGCTGCCRCATGGGCACAGTAATTTTGAATATTTTCTTACACCTCTTGTAGTCCTGAAAAGTTCAAGAGTGTTTATATGTGGTAGTAATATTGAATCTGTCCTTAGTAGAGGGCCAAGTGAGTAACAATTATATTTGTCATCCTATAAGGATGGGATAAATGCTGTTTCATTGATACCCTGATTACATGTGAAAGAGAAGTCAAGCCCTGAGACTCGATTGTCTGTTTGAGGACTAAGGAACTCAAATCCTTAGTTTCCAAAAATGGAAACATTTTTGCCAAGTGCAGTTTGAATTAATTGTGAGCCCTTGTCAGTCGAGTTTCTTAATGTTAAAAGCAGTCTGGAGTGATTTTGCTCTACCTGTTTGAGGAGCAGCCCTAATTTATTAAATAAGACTCACCTGGGATGCAGAATTCTCTGCACAGAAGAGACCCACAAGCACATTTAGGGTAGAGTTGACAGTATTTGTATTTACAGTACCTGTATTTACAATCTATGTTTATATAAGTGACCTCATTTGGAAGATAGTTCAAGAACTATTTGAAAGTCCTGTGATGACCTTGCTGTAGCTCCCATTGTATTTTCCAGGCGTATAGAGAATACATGTTATGGCACCATTTGAAACGTAATTAGGGCTTGTTTTCAGAAAAAGAGAGGTGATCTTCCAAGATTGTCAATACAGTAACATCTGGATTCATGCTGTTTCTGAAACTTACCTTAAGGTGTCAAAGTGAAGGTAATAGATTCTACGGAAAGACTCGACGACATCTTACCCAGGTTGATAATATGTTGGAACTTCATTATTTCAACCTTTATTTTTTCTTTTTAATCTGATGGAAGTCATAAAGTTTTCATAACACACTTGTGCAGTATTGTAGTTCATAGGTTCCTGAAATCTCTTTGCTAAAGCAAGTGTAGAATAGATAYACTTTTATGGACAATTTTCCTTCTGTTCTTATGCCCCATTCTCAGAATGATTATATAGAAATGTCACACTGGGAATTTTAAAATTCATTTTATCCTCATCCTTCTCTGACATCAGCCTTATGCCTGCGGATGACCTAAGGTGTCTGAGCACCATTTGGAACCTCTTTGTTGTGGGTACAGAAGTTCATACATAGAAACAGACTGACAGTGGAAAATGCCAATATTCAGAGCTTTCCTGAAACTTGTGTGTGAACTGGTTTTAATTTTCTAGAATTTTCTAGTAATAAATGTTGTTGTTATCGCTTATATAGGGCAGGTCTGGTAATGATGACCCTGTACACAGCTGTGAAGGAAATGTAGCATCAGCTTCAAGTTTAGGGCTCAGTTTTGCCTGCTTCATTTKTGTAAGTAATCCCACTGACATTAGAGAAGGTCACACTTGCCTAGGTTTGTGTGTTTTAGGAGTACTGTGGAAATTATTTGTACAGCTTTGTTCTTAAGTGTTTTTTAATGTCTTCTGCTATATGAGTGACTTTTCCAAGCACTTAAGATACTGTGTTGATTTCTTTGGAAGGCAGGTGGCCTGTAAGAAAAGGCTGTGTAAGAAACGAAGTGTGAGGAAGAGACATGTAAATTTAGACAAGAATGTTGGAGCTGTRGTAACATTTTTCACTGTCTAAATATATAGATGTCATTCCTTCTGTGTGCAACTCCTCTGAGCTACAGCTCRCTGGGAGCTGACTTCTCTGGCAGTTCCTATGAAACTGATTTATTATAAGAAAGGAAATAGCCCAAAATATCAATTTTACCCTGATACTATCTTATAAAGTTAAAAAAAATCTGCAGAGGCAAGTATAATTTGGAGAGGATGAGCCAGATTAAAAGGTGTGAAATGGTTGGAGGAATTCATACTTCTTTTTCAAGGTCCCTTCAAACTCAAGTTCCTAAAACTGTATGTTTTAAAACTATACTGAGATACAGTAAGGTTTTTTGAGATTTGTTTTGCTTTTGATAGGCAAATAAGATTTTGGAGTGGAGACAAAAATGTGGAGAGGAAAATACTACCTTTTTTCCTTTATTCAATTCATTTTTAGTGGGCTTCACATTTGTAATATTACTCACATAGATTAGAACACCAAGGAGAAACTGAAGGTAGAGAGATGGGAATCTCTGTATCCTCAAATCTTCAGCATTTGAGTGATGTTCAGGTTTCTCGTCAGGCATTCAGGGCTCCCCATGGAGCACCATACATCARATATATGGAAAACAGAGCGCCTTGTTTGTCAGAGATTATGAAAGACAGTTTTCTCAGTACAGATATGGACTTTCTTCTTTCCCCGWATTTCTCTTTCACTGAAATTTGCTGCTCTCTGTGCTGTGAGCAAGCAGAGTTTGTGAGAAGTGCTGAGGTCTTTCATCCTTTCTCTTTAGTGGATGGTACCATAGCTCAAGAGTGCTTGGCAGAAGTCTGGAGTCAGAGTGGAAAGAGCATCAGACAAATAGTGGCAACAACCGTGTTGTTGAAAGATGAAGGTAGCACACAGAATGGAGAGCAAAAAGGCAAGCAGAAAAGAGCATGGCATGATAAGCATCATCAGAGACTGGAAAATACTTTAGATCTATTCTTTTTGTATGGAATTAAGCTGTGTTGTGACAGATGAGTAAAACAGCCTTTACTTTGAAGTATCCAGTACCTGAGATGCTGGGCAGGTGTGGTTACAGGTGAAATTGATAATTATAGGTCTGCAACCAAAATAGTGTGAAAACAAAACTTCCAAAATTCTTGGATGGGGGGAGAAAAAAAGGCAAACTTTGGATCAAGAGTAGCAGCATGATTCCTCTGTCGTTTGAAGATTAGTGATGTTAAATTGTCATGTTAGTCATTTGTACTTTGAAAGGTCAAGATCTTGGTTGTGTTTTAAGTGCAAATCTCAACATGGCTAATCTAAGGTACAAGTAGAGCAACTACCTGATAAAATACTTTATTTAGGCTACTGCTTGCTAAGGGTGGTCTCCATTTAATGGTTTACCATTACAAAAAGGATAAGTCTCATTCCGTTTTTGGTGATTTTGCTTTTCCCTTCTTGGTTAATAGCTGAGGATGGAGTAGGGCCACCTCTTCTTAATGGCATAGAGATGTATTATGATTGCATCCCCGTATCTTGTGAATTGTATCCTTAATAAGAAATATAGTCACCTTCCTATTGTGGAAAATAAATACATGATCATTTGGTGACACACCAATGTATACAACTTGCATGTCATTCACAGAGTGGATAATTATTTTTTTTTCTCCAAATATCCTTTTTTCTTTCTTTTTTTTTTTTTTTTTCTGCTTTGTTTCAGCCTGTAGTATCACTTGTTGCTTATCAAAACCTCAGATCGTTTGTTCTTGTCTGCTTGTCTCTCCAGGAATGTGCGTATTCCCTGTGAAACAGTCTGGTATCTCATTCTAGTTTCAGTGACAGGTTGGGAACTGCTTTTACTTAATCAATGTATATTTGTTTAAAACAAAGCCCACGATGCAAGTACTGAACCCATGATGAGAGACTAGCTGTGTCTGAACTTCTGACACCTTCATTTGTTTATCCAGTATAAAGTAGAATTCTAATATTACAGTGCTAATATAGCTGTGATAGCATCAGACAGCATTAAAGTACATAGTGATTGTGTATGTGGGTTTTTAACCAGTCTGTCATTTGCTTGGGGCTATGTGTTGTTGATTTTAGCATTAGTGAGAATGGCTATGGTAACTTTGAGATAACGCTTTTATTCTTCACTTCCCCCAGAGTGATAGGGTTGCTCTGTATCTTTCATCTCAGAGCACGTAAAGTTGAAAATTGAGGAAATGCTACAGAGTATTTGCTTAYGTGTGCAAAGTACATACCATTGGTTAAAGCCAAGGATTGTGACTTGTTACGTTAAAATTAGGCAAGTGGTCTAGACTGTGGTTTACCCAGACCAGTGTCTATAGCACTTGCCTACTTGAGCTGTTCTGATTAAACAAAGCTGCCTTGACTTACAAGGTGGTAATGCTGTAGTTCTTATGCCCAGGGTCAGCCCCACTTAATGAGAATTTGTACACGTGAAATAAAACACACCTTTTGTCTGAGCCCTTTGCTGGAGTTGTCTTGCTAYGTAGCT